ATAATGTTATTTTAACTAAAACGTAAGGGTGTCCGAAATCAGTATTTGGTAATATAGTTTTCTAAACGCTTCTAATGTGAGTTTCTACTATAGATGGCAAACTATTTTTTCAAAGGGCGTATTAGTATTAACTAACTGACAAAGGACTGGCTTTGTTCGTATGAGATAGTAATGTTCATAGTAAACAATTTTATTTTCATAATAAAAGGTGCACATCTTTTTCAAACTTAATTATTCCTTACTTACTTATTTACTTAAAAAGCGGTTAATTATGCATTTATTTTTCTTTTTTATTTGTATAATTAAACATATTTATTGCCCTATAAAAGTTAATAAAATGTTATCAAAGTCTATGCATAAAGTATCATAGAATATGATTCAGAAATGTTAGTGAAAGTTTTACTAAAAGCCAAATAATAATAGATACTCACTCTCTATGTACTACATGACCTTTATGCGTTATATTTACTTGCACAACTTCTAATTACTTCTAGGTTCCATTTTCATTCTAATTGAATTAATTAATCGTGCCAGCCTGACAGAAAGAACAGCAAATTATAAATGTATAATATTACCCTCATTCAGTGATAATTTTACTTACGCTCCTTGCCTGTATGAAGAAGAATACTATGAAGATATGTAGTTTATAGTCTACATTTAAAATCTGATGGTAGTAATCTATTAGTATGAAATTCTTCTGAGCTCAAGTAAATGCCAAGAAACCATAGAAAAACTATGGGAATACAAACCTAAGGGAATAATGAAACTGCTGTTTAAAAGAAGTTTGCTAGACGTTAGACTGAAAATATATCACTTAATCGTGCGGGTTCGAAATTCTTTACCATTTGTATGGTGTGGGTATGTCAGGTTTTTGTACTTCTTTCTCTTCTTTTCTTTTATAGTTTTATTCTGTTTTATATTAAACTGGTTTAAAAATTTTACAAGAAAAAATATTTTCCTTGTAGGGTTCTAACATTAACGTTGGTTTAGAAAAGTAAAGAAAAATAAATATATATTTTTTCCAAATTTTTCAATGGTCCTTTTGTTCATTGAAATGTTCATTTGTTTCTTTAAATATATTCATTTGCGCTCGCAATAAATCTGAAGTAATTATCCTTCAGTTGTGGAAAGCTTTCTATTTAGTCACTTTGCAAATTACATTCAATTGCTAAAACTATTTTTTGTGTATGGAATATATGTTTCTTAAATAAGGGTACTTTTTCAGGCCTAATAGTTGAAATTAGTTAATTTATTATATTATTATAAAAATTTCGATGATATTTATTAGATTAACAGAAAATAAATGCTTTGCTATAGCAAGTGTGGGTAAAGTATGGGGAAAACCAGTATTAGAAAATAAACTGAAAGGTTTAATACATGAGATACCAGCTCAATAACAAGACCTTTTGATCTAATAGCACTGCTTCCTGCGCATCATGAAGTTAACAAGTCGTTTGAACTCTGGAACTAATACCGTTGGTATATACAGCTATGAGTACACGTTGAATGGCTGTCCAAATTTCCGCCTTACTAACTGTAGGTGACTCCAAGTCATTTAGGCCCTTGCAAATATCTTCTCAGGTCGTCTATGAGAGCTAGGTTTCGATATGCATGAGCGATAAGGAATTATGTTGAAGTCTTCTGAATACTCATCAACCAGCCCCGTGTCATCCGCCAGTGATGTAGAGTGATATTATTTAAGTGGAATAATCCATCTTCCCCTTTACTAAGTAAACATAAAACAGGTATTGATGGTCAGCGACTAAACTTATATATCTAATCTTTCATGATCTATTTTAAAACTGGTCCTGGAGTTTTCCAGCATAGTGTACTCCACGCCATCTTATAAATAATATGAATTAGCAAATTAAAACTGTTCAGTAGTTTGATCATATTACATGAACGCGGATGAGCTCTAGAAAATCGAAATCTAATTTGTAATCTTCTGTTGATTTTATTTCCATACATTATTTTAGTAACATATATTTTTGAAATCACTTTGTCATATTCATATTTAAGTCTCTCCTGAAATGTTTTTCATGTAATCATATGGGAAACCTGAATAAAATATGGAAAACCCACTTAATGGATTGAATTCTTCATAACGAATTAAAAATAATTTTCATAACGTTTCCCCGCAGAATAAATTTTCCAAATTCAATTAAAGCTCACGGAAAAGAGTTTCACCTAAATATTAATGTGACTGAAAACATAATAAAAGCATTCTTTATTCATTAAAATCCTCAGGACATGATTACGTTTATGACACGTTCATGACATGTTTTCCTGTTTGGTCAGTCTCTGAACAAAACTGGATGATTAGTCACATTAAAGTGGTATGAAGATAATGTTCTAACCAGTTCTTCCTTATGCGCTATTATTTTTAATGTTTGAGGAATATTAGCAATGTGTTTACAAAACTCAGTTTTATTATTAGACACTTAATGATATATTTTGTTTGGAGAAACTATTTTTCCAACGCTGCATTTCATCCTATAGCGATAATTTAATCTTTGTATGGAAATAAAACGGCAAATGCAACTTAAACATAGTTTAAAATGTGAAAGTGTGCATGACAAAACAATATACGATATACAAAAAGCACATATTATGTGTTGAAACACATAGAGAAAGACTATTATGTGTTAAAAACACATACTGTGTAAAATAAGTAGGTTAACGAAGCTCTTATTTAATTTTATAAACAATAGAAACGTCCAGTCAAACTAAAGTCGTGATTGTTCGCAAAAATGCATAACCTGAATGTTTCTTCTTAACTGCTTTCCTATTGAAAATCAAGATATGAATACTCACAGAAGATAAAACCTATAACAAGAGTTAAAAAATTTTCAGTAAAATATTAATATGCTGGAATTTATCGTCCATGCACGATTTTTAAATTTGAAATTTAAAAAAACCTGGTTTGCTTGTACTAGTTTCATGTTCAGAGACATTTTTCATTAAAGCAATCATGTGGGAATGCAAATAATGTTCAAAAAGTGAATTTAAGACAGAAAAATTCTGCATAGGTTTCAAAAGCAGCAGTTGTGAAGTCCTTGCATGTAAAGTGTTTTCTAAAATCTATGCAGATTTTTTTTCCCTCAAGGTCGAGTACGTGCATGTTTGACTATGTATAGAAAATAGTATTCTTGGGATTATTTGACTTGCCATGCGTCTATTAAATGTTAAGATATGCAAATTTTATTGCAGTTACATTTATTTCTGTGATATTAAAATGCACTCTTGTTCAAGAAATAAGCAACAAAGGCAAAAAATTGAATAAAACAAAACTATTTAATAGATATGGGGGATATTGTTCCAAGAGGTTGGTGCAGCATTACTAGACCACATAACAAACAGTAAAACAAAGACATACAAAAGCACAAGTATTACGACTATCACTTCACTAAAGACAGAAGAATGTACAAGGAGAACATCACGCTAATTAAAGGTATGCTTGCTGAAATGCATGCTTGACAACGGCGAAGCAAGCTGGCAATAATATTGTTGATCGCTTGTTATGACAGTAGTGCCATTCCTGTAGTAATGAATGTCGAAACTCGTAGAGGGTACCTAGCGGCGCACTACGATCTGCTAACCATCGTCCCAATATGTGCTATGCATGTTCTATGGGATTCATGTCCGGTGATCTAGTAGGCCACCGCAGATAAGAAATAGTTTCGCTCTCCATAAAACTTCGCTCCACTCGAGCTCTATGAGTGCTGGCGTTATCGTCCATTAATATCGTTTCGGTACCCATTACAGCGATAAAAGGACGCATAAGAGGGTGTATATTTTTGTCGTGATATCGGACACTAGGAAGCACTTAGAGGTCGATGCTGCGTTCGTTGCTATCTCAAGCACATCCAAGTAGGCCTCCTCCTCTGTAATGGCCTCTTTCGATGATGCTTGGTGCCCGATAGTGTATCCCTCCGGCTCTCGCCATATCATTACTTTCGGCGATTGTTCTAGATGTTAAATCGAGACTCATCCGCATAGAGCACACGGCTCCACTGGTGTTGTGTCCAACTGCGATGTTCACGGGAACAATCGAAACGCGCTTTGACATACGATGGGGGAAAAAGAAACACAAACATCAGGTCGTCGAGCGTAAGGTCTAGTTTCACGCAGTCAACGCGACAGTTTGGCGGGATATGTGCCGTCCTGCAGCTGGAGAGAAATGCGACGTCATCTATCATGCTGTTACTGATCTACGACGTTTTGCACATAGCAAAAGAAAGCGATCATCTGTCATTGTCGTAATCCTCCGGCGTCCAGACCTACGTCTTCTACATGTTTTGATCCCTTTGGTAACGATTCTACAGTCTATTAATGACACTACGATGAGCATTCAGGTCTGTCGCAACAGCAGATTGTCTTGCACCAGCTTGCAGCATTCCGACAGCCCTTCAACACATTTCATCCTGCAAATGGTGTCTTCGGCTCATGCTTTCGGCTTTGGCTATTTCGGATTACACGGAACGATTAATGCTTGTGAACTGAACTCTAGATACGGCATACAGTGTGTGATTCAAAAGTTTCAAGACGTACCTCAGAACTAGAAATTTATTGGACATTTAAGTACAAAGGACTAAAATTCTTTACAATATGATCCTTCAGCATCAGCACAGCGCTGCCAGCGCATCTTCCACTGTTCGTAGCCCTTCTGGAAGGCCTCGGGTGTCAAGCTGTCAAGGGCTCTTGTCGAAGCCCGCTGGATGGCGTCGAATCGCTTCCATTTTAGGTCTGTCCTGATTCGGGGAAAGAGGAAAAAGTTAGTTGGAGCCAAGTCGGAGCTGTAGGGTGGCTGCGGCAGTGTTGTCACGTTGAACTAGACCAAAACTTCGGCGGCGGGGCGCGACGTGCGAGCGGGCGCGTTGTCGTGGTGAAGAATCCAATCACCGGACGCGCGCGGCTGTCTCGTTCCCTCAAGCGGCGGATCACTCCAGCGTAAAAGTCACAAGTGACAGTCTGTCCACAAGCAACAAACTCCTTGTGAATCACTCTTTTACCATAAAATAGCAATCAACATGCACACGCGATTTGCTCATGCGAGCTTTCTTGGGCTTCGGCGAGGAAGCAGTGTGCCATTCTGAGCTTCGACGCTTCGACTCAGGATCGTACTCGTAGACCCAGGTCTCATCACCAATAACCACTTTCTCCAGAAAGTTCGGATCAACATTCAACCGTTTGAGCATTTCCTGGCAAACGGTCATGCTCCATTTCTTTTGATCCACCGACAAAACTTTTGACACCAGTTTGGCACACACTTTTCGCATCACCAGATTCTCCGTCGCAATCCACCACACCGTACTCTGACTAAGTCTCAGTTCATCGGCAATTAATCTAGTACTAAGACGATGGTCATTGTTAAAATTCCGCACTCTCTCCACATTTGATCCGTTCGGCTTGATGAGGATCGTCGTCTTCAACATTCCCGCGGCCATCTTTGAAACGTTTGTGCCACATGAAAGCCATTGCACGGGACATAACTTTTTACTTAAAGGTCTCTTGAATCATACCGAGAGTCTCCGTGGCGGTTTTGTTCAGTCGCAAGTAAAACTTAATCGCATAACGTTGCTCCAAGTGCTGCTCCATTTTCCTCTTTCCCACTTTTCGACCGAGATCAATGACACGCACTCACGTTGCAAGTGATGCGCACTCTCCAGGGTTCCGGAGGCAAATGCCGCAGCGTCAATTCGTTCCCGGAGACCCCCACTACTCCCCCACCCGGCGGAACCGGTCCCTGCGCGCACCTCTATTGAGAAGTAAACCAGTCTTGAAACTTCTGATTCACACCTTGTATTCCCTTTAAAGGCGTTGTGGTGTGACTGCGGGATAGTGGTTTTTGCTAATTTTGGTGTCTGTTTGTATTTGGCAATACAACCACTACCTCATATGTAAATTGTATAATTTATTTCCCCATTTAACATTCGTACCTATAAAATTAGCGTTTTTTGCTTATATTTTGGGTACGACTGTATAATGACATTTTAAATATTTGTCCAGATGACACCGAGATGGATTTATCTATGTAGATATTTGTCTCAGAACTAAATAGAGAAAATCTGTCTATTTTGTTTGTACTCTTGTTTTGCGCTATTTTTATGATAATCTTTTTCATATTCCTCGAATTTAGAGTTTGAAAATGGATTTGAATTTCATGGTTCGGATTCTGGTGGCTAACTGCGAGAATTCTTTGTAATTGTCCCACAAATATTGTAAATACACATATTCTTATAAAGTTCTACATGAAGGAGTTTCTTCCACTTAGATAGTTGCCTCAATTATTTTGTCCTAACCGGAGGCATTTTGTGTAAAGCTATCCTTATGAGTTGTTTCTGTCCGTATTAATCCTAATTTTTGAACAACAGTTTTACAGTATGCATTTTAGCAAACATTAGATTCGTGCGTTTTGTTGTTTGTGCCGCATAATGTTAGCTCTATATCATTTCAACCAAAATGCCTTTAGTCCATTTAGTTACCATAGAATTCATTATCTTTGCTTCAGGATTTATTTTAATTTTCTGGGCAATCCAGTTTGCTAAGAGCTGGTCAGAGTATATAATTCACTGAATTTTACTCAATTGATTTCTAGTATGTTGATCCAAAATAATTAAAACGAATTCATGCATTGCAACCAAGCAATTAAAAATTAAATTTTAAATTATTCCCCTTCACTAATTGTATCAGGGAGCTACACTTTGCGTATGCGATCATCATGAACTCTTAAATTTAGTCACATAATTCTGATTGTTGATTTTGTTAATCTTTCCTGAAATTTTATCTTTCACAGCCTTTGCTTTGCTAAAATTTACAATAAAATATATTAAAAATTATACTTACAATTTATAAATAAGCAGAATAATCCTTCACAAGCTTTATTTACTCCTGTAATTCACAAAGTCTGAAAGTACGATAAAAGTACTCATTTATCATGAATGCCATAAGCACAACTTTGAGGCAAAATAATTCTTCTAGTCTAATCTTCTTTCTTTGTTAACTGAGCTTGCTTTATTATCACTGCTTTATTTCTTGGTTACTTCCCTTAGTAATTTCAGTTCATGCGATTCAGTATATTTATTGCTAATCTCAATAATTGTGGAGTTACGTGTAATCAAAGAAAGTAACATATGAGACGGTTTTTAATTGCCATTAGCATCTGCGCATCTATGAATGAGAATCGCCACGCTTAAAACATCCATTCCTTATGACTTCACTGAACAATGGACCATTTACAGAAGGTTCTAAACATAAAAGAATAAAATATGAGATATCGTTCTGAGAAAGTTCTGGTTTTTCAAATATATAGAGGATATATTTTAAGCGCATTTATCTGACTTTAACAGCCTTTACATTCAGTTCTTAGCCAAGTGATTTGAAAAAAGCATAATAATTTTTACTTTCTCTGAGATAGTCGGTTGTTTGAATAATTTCTTTCTCGTCCATTGCTTCTATGCTGCATCTTTCTTTTATTAAAGGTATTGTCGTTATCCCGGTATATACTTTGTAAATGTGCTGTTATGGCAAATCCTACAGTTTCATATATGTGGCTCCTAAACAAAATCTGTCAGTCCAATAAATATCTGTAACTACGCACTATGCCTTGTTCTTTGCATAAACATACCCCTCACTGTTACGCTGGAAATAATATTTCAGTCATGTAGTATTTCATATAATGGTTTGATTGATAAATATACTAAAGCTCAAAATCACACATTGCATTATAGTACTTAGTTATTATTATAGTTCTACACATTGCATTTATACTGAGAAGTTACATTTGTTTTCTCTCATATGTGGTTTTGGTTAAAATTAAAATTTTCCTTTTCGTTACTATCCATTTAGTAACTACTTTTTTCACCTTTTTAAATAAAAGATGACTTTTACTAGAACATTTTCTAATTTAGTTTCACTTACTACAAATTCCTTTAAAATGTCGGTATATATATATATATATTTTTTTTTTTAATCAAGTTGCTTTTACAAAGCTAGCTAAGTTTTCACACAATGTTTTGAATAGCATTTAAATATGTTAACTGAATTCGTTGCAATTAAGAAATGCGATATTTCACTAAATTTCATTTAGCCATTGCATTCATATGTTTTATTAAGCGATACTTCTGATTTACCATTATTTTTAAGCAATACTTCAGATAAGATGTTTTATTAAGCGTTCTTTATATACCAGTAAGAATAACAAATTATAATTCATTTAACTGACTTGTTGAAAGGAAATAAAATACAAGCTGCAAATTAGGAACTGACGTTTATTGTAAAAGCAACTAATAAAAAGTAATTTTTACTCTTTTCTAGCAAACTGTTGTGAAGGTTGGATTTAAATATGTGTTTAAATTCAATTAGTTTATAAACATTCGAAGGAATGTTATTTTCAAATTTTTTTTTATATTCTTAACTAGGCAATTTGGCATTATGTCAGCGATTTATAATAGATTCTGCAAATTTTTCCAATAATTTAATTTTAATATTTTTTAACCTCAAACTCAAGTGGGGTGCGAAGTTAATATCGGCATATCTAGTTAGCTGAATAGCAGAATAATTCTGAACTTACGAAAGCTCGCGTTATTTTTGTGACCTATTTTGACTAGTGTAAAAAAGATACTTGAAGGGAACTTAAATATACAATTCTCAGAATAATTAATTTCTCTTTTGTTCAAAAGGATAGATGGATATTCATGTATTTGCAATAATAGAATGCGGATATTCAAACACGCTATTATATTTCTATAGAAGAAATGTATGAAGTTATAACATTCGTGACAGCAGAGTTCATATTGTGAAGCGACCAGAGTTAAATCACCTTTTAACAGTTCACAGCAATGTCTCATTTTGAGCAAAGAAGCTTATATTTCTGTTATAAGTAAAATATCTCAATTACGTCCATGACATCTTACCTGGCAGACTTCTTAATCTTTGGCTCTGCTGTTCTTCTTTATAGAGATGGTTCTATAGGAGAATGCTTTCAATAAATCAAGCTAAACCAAACGAAAGGTTAGCATAAAATTAGCTAGTTTTGGTATCAATTTTATGCTAGCATTTATGCTAGCATAAAATTTATACCAATTTTGATATGGTATTGATACCAAAAAAACCTGAGAGTCTATTAAAATTTAAATAAACGGCATAAGAGTTGGGTGCAGTATGTATGTTACTACGAATTTGAATAAATATTTATATATTAAATAGGACTACGCTATACGAATTTTTAGGCACTGAACTATGATTGAAGTTTTAAAACAGAGGGAGGTCAGCTGCTAGACTGGACAGTATAAACAAGAGAGTAGAGACATATCAGATTTTCTATTACTTGCTGAGTACGGAATGCTTTCCTTGAGTTTCAAAATGTAGAGAGTTAGAGCAAATATATATAGAACAGAGCATAAATTAAGGATTTTAATCAACGTAGATTTCGTTAATTAGACTGAGAAAGTGGAGAAAATGCGAACTATTGAAGCTTTAAAAGCTTAATATTTTATGCATCAAAATAATTTGCTTTTTATATATTTTAATCCTTGATGATTAATATTTAAATGATTCATAATCATATTTCACATAAATAAAATTTTACTTATATTGTATTATTCTGCTTTTCGGCGCTTTTCTTAAGTAGAAAATCTGCTTTTAGCTCTTCCTTTCTTTATATACCATAATGGATATCGAATATAAGTACATTCTTAACTGAAGAATACTATACAGCACGTACTTGTTTTAAGTACAACGATTTTTATCTATAAATTCCATTTGGAAAGCCCCAGTATAATGCATCTAATGACCTAAATATTTACAAATAAAACTAATTAAACTCCAAAAGAGACTTCTCTATTCTAATGGTTTCCTTTGATGCGATGAAGTCTTAAGTTGCGATGTCTTAATAATCTATTAAGAAACATTTTGCGTGAGAATAAAAAAATACTTTAAATATGTTAGAAAAAACACCTGAATATGTGATTACTAGCTTCTGATTAAGTAGGCTGCCTCACCTGCAGCTAAGGAAAAAAGTAAACTCAAAAATGTTTCGAAATGCGCATTGAAAGTTTAACGAAACGCCAGTTATAGATGGTAATATTTTTTAACTTACAGTTATTACTTAAAATATCAATTTTTACTACACTTTTAGTTTATCTCACGTCATGAAGCTGTTGTTAAAGCAACAACTGTACTTACAGTATTTCTGAGCCTAAAACTCTCAGTATGAGCTATTGTGTTATCTTTGCTTAAGGGATTTCAGTCTTCCAATCTGCATATGGGGATATCTTGCTCAGTATGGCCGAGTATTTGAAATAGCTGCCATGCCTTTCGGTCTGGATCTGAATCGCGGAGAAGGCATAGAGGTTTGTAGTGGTCTCTCTCCAATTTTTCGGGTCCGAAATCGATCGCCCCTGGGCTGCATCCTGTGTAATTTTCTCAGTGATGTGGCCTATAAATGAAACACGGGTTCGATCATCCGCATAGAATGATTAACGAACAAATGCCAGCCAAAGAGGTAAAAAAATTTACATAATATGGTTTCCTTGGTTGCATGTACAAAAGCTTAAGAATGTTGAATGTCAGCAAATCTGAAATATTTTAGCAGCCAGAAACTACTGAAGCTCTGTTAGTTTTCAAACTGTGTGACTATTTCCTTGTATTAAACGAAATCTAACAATATTTTACTTCAAACATATAAAGTAGTAGTGTCTTAACTTAGGAAGACATATTTTATTAGTAATATAAAATCTATTAGAATTTTCTTTTAGAAAAATGTAATCGAATTTTTCAGTCCTTAATATTACAGACAACATACTGCCGCCCAGAAGATATAGTGGATATCGGAGCGTACTGTGGAACCGAATGGCCCGGGTTCGAATCCCGGAGAAGGCATGGCTGTAATCGTCCGTTCCTTCTTAGGATTTAGGATTTAGGAACGGGGAAGACGGGTACCACGCCTTTACCATTTGGTTAATTGGTTTAGCGCCGTCTCCCCACTACGTGATCCCAGCCGTTTATTGATATTAGCGAACAGAGACATAATTTGAAATGAATACAAAATTTGCAATGATACATAATTGAAATGAATACAAAATTTGAAATTAATACATAATTTTCAATCATACATAGTTTGGAATGTAAAAAAAAAAAAAAAAAAAAAAAAATTGAAGCATAATGTATAAATTAACATAATTATAAACATACAGAATTTTGAATGTAATAAAAAAATTTTAAACATAATATATGACATAACTCTTTAAAATATGTGCGGAATTTTGAATATAATACGCGACGAAAAGAAATAGTAGTGATGAATAGTAGTTTGCAGTTCCAACAAAAGTCTATAGTTCAAAGTCTATATCCAGAATTCACAGTTCACAGTCTATATTCTATAGATGTAGTACAAAATCTATAGATCAAAGTCTGCAAGTTAAATATTTTGTTTATGTAATTAATGTATATTGCTCAAATTTGCAGATTTTGCAAGTCAGTAGGATGTAATCGACTCAGTAGGATAAGGTTCTTACATTCAGTAAAAAATTGTACAATACAAACTGGCTAAATAGTTGGGAGCCCAATGCAGGCTAACGTGACAAATTCTTACTACATTAGATAAGTTCAAAATAAATAACTAACATGATGCCGTCAAACTAACATTTACAATTTCTGGTATGGTAAAGAGCTGACAGAAATAATACAGTTGAACGTATAGTACAATAGAACATAGTAACATAGTGTACTGATAATGCTAGATTTGTTGACTGGATGATAATGCATGCTAATATAATATAAAAAGAAAAGCAAACAACAATTATTTTCTTATAAACAAGTAGATAAATGAAAAATGCGTAAAAACAGTAGAAAATACAGTACACTGCAAACAAACCAACATGAGATCTGTATAAATGCTTGGCTATAAGTTCGATAGGTAAACAAGAACATATACAAATGCTATATGCTATATAATATATATAATATTTACTTTTTAATTAAAAAGTTGACAGATTCATACAGCGATAGATAGTGCAATGCAATTAACTAACATGATGCGAAACTAACATTTACAGTTTCTGGTATGTTAAAGAGCTGACCTAACATATTGTACAATAGAACTTAGTAACATAGTATGCGGATAATGCTATACTTGCTGACTGAATGATAATGCTATTATAAAATTAAGGGGAAAAAAAAAAAAACAAAAAAAAACAAGTAACTAAATGAAAAATGCATATCAACAGTAGGAGAGTACGGAACAAACAAACAAGTCATCTGTAAAAATACTAGTCTCAAATATGCAATAGTTAAACAAAAACATATACAAAGGCAGAAAGTTGCTTACAAAATAAAGAAGAATTTGCGGAAAAAGCTATACTTGCTGACTGAAACTATCCATATTGTCAACAATAGCTATAGTACCGACAGAACTATATTACTGACTGAATGCGATATTTGCAGACCGAATAGAATTATTTACTGATAATGCTATACTTGCTGACTTAAGAATGAAACTAGCTAATATGAGACAAGAAACAATGATATTGAAATTGTGTACTAAATAAAAAAGTAGACAGATTCTTACAACATGAGACAGATTTCAATGTAATTAGATTAACATGATGCCACCAAATAAACATTTACAATTTCTGTTATAGTACAAAGGCTCACTATAGATTACAATAGGACATACCAACATAATTTACTGATAATACTATACTGAATGAAGATACTTGTAAGCATAATACCATGATACAATGATTAAGATAATGATTGTCTTATAGACAATCAACTTAATAAGAAAAGCATACTATCGATAGAAGGGTACAGTATAATCAAACCAACGTGAGAACTATGTAAAGGCATGGCTTAAAAATAATAATAATAATAATGATAATAATAATAATAATAATAATAATAATAATAATAATAATAATAATAATAATACAAAATCGATTACGAATTAAATATATATATATATATATATATATATATAAATAGATAAATAAAAATAAAAATAAAAATTTCTAACAAACTTGAAAAGGTGATAGATGGAGTTCGATACACACAAACTAACGCTAACGTAATGCAGTCAAACTTATATTTCATTTGTTATTAATAGTCTAGCTACAAAAAGCAGATAGTAAATGGTTAATACATTTCCTGAAAACCATTTAGATGAAACTTGACATAGGTCAATCCCAATGCTGGAGGCTTTCTCCATTACGCAATTTAGTTTTCGGATCAGGTGTCTTTGCTTAACTAAGAGTTTGCAAAATGCCTGACGATTTTGCGTAGGAAATCGTATATGTAGGCCTTCTGTCAGGGGACAATTGGCTAAATAGTGCTCCGGAGAGCCGAGTTCACCACAACTGCAGACATTGATATCACTAATGCCAAAGCGTGCGAAGAATTCAGGAAAAGGTCCATGCCCCGAAATGTAACAGGAAAGATGGGCATTGCCACAGCAATGATCTGTCGACACATATAAAAGATGGTAGAAAGTATGTCGACCGGTGAAGCTATTGTCCCATTCCTCTTGCCACTTACTAATTGCTCGAAGACGTAAAGTTCGCTTGAGAAACGAATGTGGCCAAGAAATGGATATATTCTCATCAGCATCACCAGAAGCCGCCTCCTTGGCATAGACATCAGCAAGTTCGTTATATTCTCCCACATGCGCTTTAACCCAAGAAATATGAATAGTGAAAGACGGAGAAGCACGTAAGTCTTGTTGAATGTCTCGTATAATTGGAGAGGAATGCTCAGGATTGCCAATGGCGTGGATGACAGAAAGGCTATCAGAATTGATTGTCGCTTGTGTTATATTCTGAGTCAGCAAGTAGCGGATAGCGCGTGCTATCGCCACTGCTTCCCCTTGAAAAACACTATTCTGCATACATAAATCCGTTCCTTCTTAGAAGGTAACTGCGGCCCACCAATTAGTTGCTTCCACAATAAAGCTACCACTACTTCCGGCTTAATAGTGGCCAAGACTAAGTCGGCTAAGTGTCCACCAATAAAGGCAATATACTTAATGATGACAATTAAAATAGTAAACTTTCTTAGACATCGGAACAGCCTCATTTCATTTCTAATTTTCAAGTTATTTTCTAAGCACAGTAAATTTGAACATGATGTCAAATAAGTCTCCTTAGATTTATGCAGGCTTGAAGACATTCGACTGAACTATTGATCAGATTTATAACAATACACAGTTGTAAAGCATGCAGTGCATAAAAGAAGTATCACATTTTAAGGAAGTAAAATAAACTATAGGTTTATCTTTTAAATTTCTGGATATTAGAGTCATTGGATACTAGGCTTTTGTATGTTGTTTGTGCGCATCTTTTGTGTAACGTCAGATTTAGGTATAACTTTATATAAGACATGTATGTCCACTTCTGTAAATTTCAACATAAATAAGCTCTGTCTCTATGCATACGTTACATACTATAAATACAGAAAAAATATTTTAATAAAAATTCCTTTTAAATCTTAAGATATGCACTCCTAATATTTTCAACTTAACTATCGAATATATAGAGTAAATATATGCTTTTTTTATAGTACATATTTTCGGAAGTGAAAATTCAGATGTTGTATGTCTCATTAGAAATGTATTATCCCATGCATGACGTTATTCAAAACATTCTTTAATTCTTTTGTTTATGTGGCGCAAACTTTTTATCGGGATTTCCGCAAAATTATTAAGAAAATTTCGTTATTTCCATTTGTTGTAATTCCTTACACTGATGCGAAATGGAATTAAATATCTGGAGCGGAAACAGCATTCATTCGTAGGGAGATGCATGTGAATACCAAAACATAAAATTCCTATCACAATTTTTTCCACCTTCCTAAATAAATGTGTAATCGATATTAGAGCGAAAAAAGGGTGGAAAACAATGTTACCACTAAGCAATTAAAAATCCGCAATTACTGAGGACTTTTTTTTTCGCTTATATCTCTAGCAGAAGCTGAAGTTTTGAGCATGACAGATTTTCGTTGGCGCTTGACTGACTGCTTGGTTAGTGAAGCGATAAAGAAATGTTCTGAGCGGTTCTGAGCGTACCAAAAAATTCGAGGCTAGAGGAAAGAAATATATGCAAACAATGGAGTTGCGTCTCAACCGGGAGGAAATAATTGATATAATTAGCCTCATTACCTTTTTTTAATCCTTACCCCGACTAACCTTTTCATCTGAAAGTTAAGAGAAAGCAGAACGAAATCAAAGAAAGCACCAAAACGTCTTCTTTGTGATCTGTAGTTGAAAGAACTACATTACATATTAACTGCGAAGCCCAAAAAATAATCGTTTTCGAACAAAATATTTCAGGCGCTCTTTTAATACATTGCAGATAAACTTAAAAGCACTATTGATATATTTTTACATATTTTAGGATATACAGTTTTTCGATGAGTTTATTCTTGTTATTTTAAAGAATTATTAATAATGTGTATAAACATAATTCTGCTTTATTAAGATAGTTAAATTTAATAGTATTGCAAATTAAAACTCAGAATGTGTCGCGCTGTAAAGAAATAGGCAAAAAACACATTTTAATATCTGTAACGTCAATTTTCTGCAAAATATCGTTCATTTCAAAAAGTGTACGACAATTTGCAAATAATTTCGTACACAAATCCATCAGCTTATATTTTGATAAATTAGAGAAATAAAATTGTTTTATTACTGTTGTTACTATTTTCATTGTTTTAACTCTTAAATAGCAATAAATTCTGGTGTACTGGGAAAGAACGAAATGCACAATACCAAAATCTGCATGTTGTTATTTCAATTTAAGGACATTTATATGATTTACAAGCTCAAGCTTTGACACGCGAAAGGTTCCAATATTCGAACTAAAAATTCTTCGTTGTTTAAAAAAATCTTTGAATTATTTTAAGGGTATCTAGAATTTGTTAAGTAGTTGTTGTTGATAATGCTCGCTTGTCTGACCCATAGTCAGTGCAAGCCCACGAAATTCCTCGTGGAAAGGAGCCCAAGTTTACGCTTGCCGTTGGTAACAGCTTTGAGCACCTTACAGGTGGCAGTGCGATTTAGCTCAGTTCCGTCCCCAAATTTGATGGAGAGCACCCCGGAAGGACGGGTCTGAGGCTCTCCCACACTTTTCGCCTACTAGAAACCTCTCAAGAGGACTTTCGGCATATTTAGAGTGCCCCCATGCCGCACGGACATTATACATTTACAAATAGCCATGTCTTCTCCGGGTTTCAAACCTGGGCCTTAAGTTAAAATCTTAAAGTTTTCTACTCGATCTACGACTTCGTAAATTCCGTTTTACATCATAGGTACAATGAATATAGGATGCAAAAAACAGAATTTATACAGGAGTGGAGTGAAAAAGGCAAAATCCTTTTTTTCAAATTTTATTATTTTCTGACCCTACAAATGGTTCTGTTCGATGATAAAACACAGTAAAAAATGGCAGTTCAATCGCTCGTCATCTTCAGGTTCCACATAAGGTAAATAAAAAAAAAAAAATCAATGTTAATGTTAATGAAAACACCAAACTATTCTTAACAATATTTTTAATGTTTTTTTTTTTGTTTCCTCACCCAACTTTTGGATGTAATTTGTAAAATTATCCCAACAAAAAGTTTCAGCTTAATCACTCGTCATCTTGAGGCTCCACAGGAGAACTAAAGAAATTCATCTTGATATCGTATATCGTAAATACGTTCCTGGACATGATTCGATTGTGAATGAATCCATCCCTAGCATATGCACCAAATGTTGCCAATGACGCTTCTGTCGCCAGTCTCACACGCCTCTCTACTACTTGACAATAGCATACGAACTTTCCTATTTAAAACTGAGATACATTTCTAATCTTATGTCGTCGTTTCTGAGGTTCAAATTAGGCTGTGGTTCCAAGGGATTGTCCCAACAAATTATCTCCAAATACTCCTTTGCTCTGAAATTTAATTTGAGAAGCAAAAATTGCCGTATTTTCCTTTTCCAGTTAGATTATCTTCCTTTTGATATTCTTTCCGGGCACTCTTTCCAAGTTCACGAATATGTGTTCGCTCATCTTCTAGAAACAGGATGTTTCCAGAGTGAGCAAAATAACAGTTCCTCTGAATAACTTTCTGAACGATTGCCTTAAAGTTCTCTGCTAAGAATGAACTTTTCTTGATCATTAAGTTAACATGAGGGTCTCCATGTGTTGCTCTCGGAATTTTCTTTATTTAAAACCAAGATTGCTTATAAACTCTTATAACGTATTCGGCCAGTAGCTTTAAGGCTTTAAGTCGCCTATTGGTTCGGCGGTTGATACTTAAAGACGAAGAATTCTGTTGGCTGTATTGAACCATCTTGAATGAACTATCTTCCCAGGACCTCTGTTTACTAGGTCTGAAGGGCGTTTCTCCAAAAATACTGCCCAGGAAATATCAAGGAGGTATTTTTAGTCAGTACTGAGGTCTGTTTTGTCAATTTGGTATAGTTCAACTTTGAATAGGGACATAACCTGTCACGAGAAGGTTTTCACAGATTTTTCTATCGTTCCAGAACACTGTTGGGGGCCACATGTATTTTCATCAATCTTCTAAAAAAATGACGGAGAGGCAATTCATTTGGTGTACAACAAGCATGCAAACCAAAGCAGTTTATGACCAAAAAAGATCTCAAAATGATTCGTTTCTAGTTGATGCCATCTTAGTCCAACATAAACAATGACTGATAAAGTAAGACTGACAAAACACATCGAACAACCAGGTAATTAACACTAAAATGTCATTGAAAGATCCTGGAAGCCTCGTGATTGCTAATCTCAAGCTAGAACCAATAACTCAGATTATAACCCGTTGTTTATCTAGTAGCATGTTTTGGCATTAAATTTGATATTTTGCTCTGGGAAGCAATTTCTCTGTGAAGCAATAACATCGTTTTTGACAATTCATGAACAAAGAATAAAACCGTTAAAAAGTCAGTACAGATATTCACTTGAGGTGTGAATCCTCAAGAAGCCGATATTTGGGGCTGAATTTGAACACAATTTGTTCTAGCTCATTCGGAAGCATATAATGGCTCAGACAGTATGATTTAAAAAAAGTTTTTTTCCTCCCTCCATCCTAATATGTATAAGACAAAGCCGCTTGTATTTCTCAAGTAAGACTGCAAGTTGCAAACCAGGACTGTTGTTGTCTCAAGAAGGTTTGAAAAAATATTTTTAACTATGCAAGTCTATTTAGTACATACCCCATGTCATTAAGCAATACCTATTAGGCGATATCATAAAGAAAGATTTAATGAAATAGTACTTATTACGTTCAAGGAAATTGTGACCGTTTGTCATAGTGACCGCAGATAACACCCTATAATTAAACAGCAGTTTCAAGAAGATGTCCCCAAAACAAAAATAGTCTAAATATCTAATCTAATGTATCTAATTTGAATTCGAAGACAATGCAGGCAAGTTGTGGTCAAAAACATTTTAAACTACAGGTAAACAATACTCTAAGCCATTTACGCGCCTTCTTAAAACCTAAGAAAGAAGCTGGCTATAGTACAACTTTTTCTAAAGTGGTTACATAATCGCAAAATTACTAAGGTTTAATTAAAAGTTACATTGTGTTTATACTGAGTGGAATAAATTAGAATTGCAAATCAATCAAAACATTTTTTAATTATAATAATTTTAGGTTTAAAAGCAATCATTTGACTTTAACCCTTTATTAATGCTAATTTTCTTTCTGAGGTCTGAATATTAAACATTTAAATTTCTTTATGATGAAAAATTAACAATGCATATGAATAAGGCATTATTTGAGTAAAGTATTTATTTAAGGTATTATTCTCAAATTGAAGGCCAATAGTTGCTATGATTTCTTTTTAGAACGCATTCTGAAATTCATTCTTCATAACCATCA